GGCCAAAATCGATGCCATCGGAGCTGTTGTATAGCTTTTGGTCTAATGAAAACAGTTGCAAATCTAAGTCTTCGGGTATTTTGTCACCACTGATGGCTGTTGTGGTGGTTGTGTGGGAACTGTTAGTATCAGTTCCGTCGCCCGGAGACGAAGACTGGCTGTCAGTACTTAAAGGCACTTCCAGTTCACTGATTATTGAATTACGCAAAGTATCGGACGTTTTGCTTAATAAGAGTAATGTATTGATTATGGATTTGTTTTTATATTTCTCTCTCAATTTTCTATTCACTTCGATCTTCATTTTTCTGGTCTGTTTTTGGTGTTCATCGAAGATATTATCCTAAAATATTTTTAATGGTTAAAAGTAGTGATGGGATCAGTTTAAGTGACTATTACATAGTGTATAATGATTGCATACTTTCTTCATTCCGATGGCAAAGCATTTGTCTAAACGACACTTTTTGCAGAATTTTCGCGTAACTGAACTCATATCGCAATTGCCGTCGAAATAGCACTCAAACTAATGGTTGGGTTTTTGTGGTAAAATTGCAATTAAATTAATAACTATAAATGAACATGGTAACTAAATGAACATGGTAATAAAATATATCCATACACTATTCAATGGGGCATTGCGTCGAAAAAATGCTTTACACGGCTGACAGGTTATGGCACCGAAATGTTTGCCTGAAAAACATGCAATATATGGCATAATATTAATACCCCGATGAGAATATTTGATTATAAAAGTTGCATTAATGTAAATTAAATAATAGTTCAAATTGATTACCTGTTGCTTTATCCCCGCAAACCATACAAAGTTGTTGTCTATCCTTTGTTGCCATTGTATCCTATGGTCAATATATTACCGATTTATTTGTTAAAATTCAATATAAGTTATGAAAACTTATTGTACGGACAATAGTCTCTACACAACACACATAATGGTCTGTAAATCCGTGTCTTAAACCACAAACAACTGATGATAACTAGTATTATATCACAATTTTATTGATGTCTATTGTGTTGCACTTCAGGGACCAGTTTTGAGTAGAAAAATACGAAATTCTGGTTACGATTCACACAATTAAATGCCACCAAAAATAATAGTTTTTTTGCATTTGAAAATAATTTCCCAACAAATAAAATACAACTCAAAAAATAGACTAAACTTTTTTATGTTGAATACAAAAGAGTAAAAGAGTTGTTATATAAAAGTAATAATTTTTAACATAATGTGAACTCACAAAACAAGATTTTCTTATATAATAACGTATAACACGTAAGTATAGATGAAATGATGTGTAAATATAACTAATAATAACATAACTGTGTTTTAAAAACAAGTTTTTTCAAATGATTTCAGCCGTTGAGAGAGATTATTTTCAAATGCAAAAAAACTATTATTTTTGGTGGCATTTAATTGATGTCTATTGTGTTGCACTTC